ATGTTCTCTTGGTAGAATGTGGGGATCATTGGGTCCAATTCTACTGTTTTTAAGGGTTATCTACAATCACAATTACTAAATCCAGCATTTTGATAGTGTTGTTAGGGGGTTTGTATTCTTGGACATATCCCTCGATGAGTATGTAATGTCTAAAGATCAAATTTTTATAACTTAAGCTCATGGGAATTTATGTTATAGAATGGAGATGTTGTTAAGAACTATGATTGTTTGGGTATTATGAGTGTGTGTTGATTGGTTCAGGTTCATTTCTAAGTGTAGCAAGTATTGCTTTGGAATTTTATCATGCTTATGTGAGAAAGGATTTGTCATGATAATTCTGTCAAGGTCATTGATAACATGTTGCAGACATGTGTATGATCAACTTTGGTGGTTGTTGGGAATCACTTTTGTTGTTAGTTAAGTTTACATACAACAATATTTATCACTCGAGTAATGAGATGACTTCATTGAGGCATTGTATGGGAGGATATGTAGGTATTCAATTGGTTGGTTTGATGATGGAGATGTGAAACCCTTAGGGGGTTGATTTGGTGAAAGATTCTCAAAATAAGGTGAGAAGCATCCAAGCTAAGCTTCTAGCAGTCCAAAGTCGACAGAAAAAGTATGCATATGGTAAGGTAAGGGACATGACATTTCAAATGGGTGAGCAAGTTCTTCTAAAAGTGTAACCCATGAAAGGGATGATGCGATTCGGCAAGAAGGGAAAGCCTAGTCCTCGATACGTTGGACCATTTGAGATCCTTGGTTGTGTAGGGCCAGTGGCTTATGGATTGGCCTCACCCCCTAGCTTATCTGGAATTCATCCAATGTTTCATGTGTCCATGTTGAAAAAGTATCATGGGGACGGAGATTACAACATTAAATGAGACTCAGTTTTGTTAAACAAAACCTTCAGTATGAGGAAGAACCAGTTGCGATTCTTGATCGTGATGTCCAAAAGCTCAGGACCAAGGAGATAAAGTTCGTGAAAGTTCAATGGAAGCATCGTCCGATTGAGGAAGCTACTGGGGAAACCGGTGAGGACATGCCAGACAGGTATCCCCAGTCATTCGATGATTTAGGTACCACTCTACGTTCGCTTTAGCCCTGTTCTGATAGTTTGTCACTCAAGGACGAGTGATGGGTAAATTGGTATCTATTGTACTGATTTATTTTCGTTGTTATGGAAAAGCCAATGGGGAAAGAATTTGGGCCAGAAAACTTTTGAGTAGTGACTTATAAAATTGTAGCCTAGTCCAGATTTGGACAAAATCTTAGTCAGGTAAAGTCTAGGGAAATCTGGTAATGAATGAAAGATCTAAATATGAATTTGATCACATGAGTGGATAGTTTAGACGTTAAGGAGCCCGTACAGCTTTACGAAATCAAATTCAGGCGAGTAGAACTCCCAAAAACTGATCTTGGCGTGAAAGGGTAGTTTCTGAACGTCAAGGGTAGAAGGTGTGTTGTGAATTGGGAGCTTGGAACTCAAATTCCGACATTTTGTCTCCGTACAAGCAGCTAAAGCGGGGCCTTTGTGGCGGGTTGGGTCTCGCTGTGGCGGGACAGTCGCGACTTAAATCAGGGAAAAACCTCAAATTCGTTATTTTCTTCAAACCTCCGTTCTTGAGAGCTAAGGGACGACCCATGGCTATTTCTTGACAGATTCCCACGACTTCTAGCGCAAAAGGTAAGATTATTACTCTCCTAATCCATTTTTCGATCCGTAGAACTTCGATTCTTGGGTAATTATCATTGTCCGAGGGTTTTGGCCTGAAGTTAATGGTGGGAAAAGCCCTAATTTAATAATAAGATCTTGGTATGGCAATGGATTTAACTTAACCTCTTATCAACAAGGTATGGTGAGGGGACCTGATTAGGCTCTTGACCCCTCGAATCCCGAGAAAATCGATGATGTCAAAGTTTTTTTAAGCCTGGTCAGAGTACAATTGGTTAGGGGGTTTAGACCAAGAACAAGCGAAAATAATCCTAAAATGGAACGCTCAAGTGTCTTGGGAGGATTCGAGCTTGGTTTCGAGGTAGGTGATGGTTTGATTTCCTTTTTGTGTGATATATGTTGACTGATTGCTACATTGTATGCATGCATGTATGTGAATAAGGAAATTTGAATCGAACCTAATGAAATGATGATGTGTGAACAATACATGCAATGAACATGTTACTTGACTGTATGATTTGAGTATTGTTCATTATGGATGTGCTTGTGATTGTGGTTGTGCTGATTGGATAGGGTGTTATGTTCTGACACATACATTGGATCGGCTGTCACGTTCCGACACATAATTGGATCAGGTGTCACGTTCTGACACATATATTTGACCGGGTGTCACGTTCCGACACATCTATTAGACCTGGTGTCACGTTCCGACACATACTTTAGATCGGGTGTCACGTTCCGACACACTAATAATTTGGGTATGGGTTCCATGACAGAACTTCTTATGATTGTTTTGTTTATCTCTACTTATCATTGATAATGGAAGAGTGTAGGTTGCTCTGAAATGATAGCTGAACTGTATTCTGTATATGTGTGATTACTGTGTTGCGATTGTTCGTTGTATATTGTGCTTATGGGAGTAGCCGCGTGATCCTACTAGTACACTCTGGTTATGTACTGATACTGGACTTGCTCTTTCTTTGTTGAGTACAGGGCATCTTCAGGTGACTACTGACGTACTTCATTTAGGAGATTACTGATCGAGACCGAGTTTAAGGGTGAGCAGTTCTTCCAGGCTGCCATGGGTTCTCTTTTGTTTAGTCCATTCTTTTTGACTCAGACTATCTATTAGATTGTTATGTTTTAGTTTTGGGATTGCACCCCTCTTCCGTAGACTTGTTGAATCGTTAGAGTTTTGGTACATTGACTTTCAGGTTCTAGGAGTTGTTTTCCACAAATGTTTGGTAGTTGTTTTGTTTAACTTTTGGAGTTTATGGGAACTCCATTTTTCTTAGACCTGCTTCCGTATCTTTAAATGTTTAGTTTATCGTTGAGTTGCTGATTTGGGTTGTAGTAATAATTCTCCCACCGGAGGGTTAGTGTCAATCATGATGGTCTAGGTCGTGATACTTTCAATTTTGTTTTATTAGATTTTTAAGTTTTAGGTTTCTAATTAAGAATTATTTTGGTAAAGAATATTTGAATAATTTCAAAAATAAAAAAATTATTAACTATTATTTGGAAAGTGATTTAATTATCTTGAGACAATTAAAGGAAGAAGTTAATAATTTATTCTTCTTAATAAGCGATAAAATAGTTCTCTTAAAAGTAATACAAAGTTTTTGCCACCAATAGTTGCAAGGAATCGAACCAGCATCCACATAATGTTAGGCGTTACTGGAGAGCCTTAAATCATTGAGCCACACAATCTCAATAAATATCAAAGCGGTGGACGTTTCTTTTAACAATGCAACCTGAAACTTTAGTGGTGGATGATAAGACACTTGCTCAAAGCCCATGATCCACAAGAACCAGATCCCAAGACACGACCAAACAAACTTGAATCTCAGCATTGGTGGATATACCTTACTCATTTCCGTAGAAATGAGGGTCAAGATTTTTGGTATCCAAGACTTTAGGGATTAAGAGAAGGAAATGTGCAATGGTCAATCGAAATTCTGGTGGTAACAAAACAAATCATGACTCGAGGTGAAGGGGTTCCTTTCTTGATATTTGCCGGATTGAGAGGGACTCGACCTTATGTTCCTGGTCGAGTCCTTAGGCTAGGAGGAAAACCAGAGCTTCCCCAAAATGTAGACATAAGAAAATTTGAAACGGATCATGAAAATGGCCAAGTCGGTTTTTCCGCAAAGATACTTCGAATATGGAAGACTAGAAGGGTGTTGGGTGACTCGGTGCCAAAAAGATTTCAACCTGAATGTTCTGAAGATTACAAAGAATGGTTGAAGAAGAACCCCGCCGGAACCATCGAGCCAGGTCCAAATGTCCCTCATCATGTTGAAGATGTTGGTGCTAAATATCAAGTTCGACTCCACCGACTTCAAGAAAAGGTATGATAAAATGAGTTGCATCGTCAACGCCGGCATTCAGAGAACGCCAAAGTCATAGTCCAGCTGAAATAACAACTACGAAAAGTAAGACAGTGTATGTCTGAGTTAAATAATAGCATGGAGCTACATATCTAGTCCATAGAGGGGGTCGGGTATGAAGAAGGGGTTCGGCTAGTAAGAGATTATTTGTGGAAAACAGATATTCCATATGGGAAGAAGTCAGCATCACGAAGAGAACCAGACTTGATGAATGATTAGAAGCAGTTTGAAGTTTATTATCATCCACTGCATGGGATTGCTTTTATTTGTACTTCATTTTGTTATTTACTTTCCTGAACTTATTTCCCCATTTTGATGTTTGTTAAACATTTTTGAATGTTATCAATGAAATATTTTAGGGATAATGAATTGGTTTAAAAAGACATACACATCTTTCCATTCGATAGGCCTACCCACTGCATAAAAGGGTCACATATATGTTTAGGATGCGATATTTGTTTGCCTGTTTGCGTGTTTTAACTGTTTATGTGAATATGTTGCTTTGAATGAGGATGTTCTATCCCACCCCTTTCCGAATTTTTCTGAAAGATCTCCACAAAAACAAAAGAAAGTCACTATCCAATGTTCGACCAAAATATTCTTTGAGTCTTGAGTTTCTCCGTAAAAACTGAATTCCATTACCAAATCCTAAAATCTGACTCTATCATCTCACAAAAGGTTGAATTTGCCGCTAAGATGGAAAGAGACCAAGATGTTGAGGTTGAGCTGACTAAAGAAGAATTGATGTTGAAGTTGCACCAAATAAATCAATAGATTCGAGAGGTCGAGAGAAATACTATGGAAGTAGACTTCACCACTGCAGTTGCATTGCCCAAAAGTGTTGCAATGGACATAGAAATTGAGACCAGAAAGAAGATATTGACTATGGTCTATGAAGTGGTAGCCATGACTTTGAAGAAGAAAGAGGACACAACGCTTGAGATTCGAAAGTTACGTGAAAAACATCATTTCCTCGTAAGAGAGGTTAATGCCACTGTCCCGAAAGACATTAAGCCTGAAATTACTAAGGGAGAACCCAAAAATGAAGTTATTATACGACCCTTTTCTTAAGACGATTGAAAGAAGGGGATGAAAATATCACCCTCCAAGAATACTATCAAAACTATAGCATGGGTGTCGAAGTCGTTTCATGTGCTCTCATTTACGAGACTCTTCAGGCCGTAGGCATCCTGCATCCCGTCGAGGGGCTCACTTCCAAGGTTAAACCTGAAGACGACAATAAGAAATGTGCCTATCATGAAGACAAAAAAAGGCACACCACAGATGAATGTGTGGAACTGAGGACTGTAATCCATGACCTGATCAGTAGCAAGAGAATTAGCTATATGTGGGGGTCCCCACACTATCCTTACTTGTGACCAACCAGGACCCTGGTATGCCAGTCACCGAGCATACTTTATTTCACCGTCATAACTTTACAGCTTTTGAGGATTCACGTTTAATTATCTACCTTAAGTTGGTTCGAGACGGGACCTTGACCCCTACTAAAAAGCAGCTAAGAGTGGCCTCTGCCCTTGATAGTGAAATCATTGAAACCTGCCCTTATCATGGCACTAGGAATCACAACATTGAAAAGTGTCTCGTAATACGTTATGATGTGGAGTCACTGATCAACAAAGAAAGGATCCATGTCAATTATCCCCCTTGTTATTGTTGAAAGAGTGGACAAAGGAGAATTTTAGCTTCTCGAAAGAAGAAGAATTGAGAAAGGCACAGTTTATGTTTTAAGAGTTTTTATCGTATGTTTTCAGTTTCGTTGTAATCAAGCCATGAATGAGTAAAAAAATCAAAATCATCTGTGTACTCAAACTACGTAGGGCCAGATTTCTCCTTCGTGAGATACGTAGGTAGCCTTTCAAGGCCCGGCCCTTATCTTTTTAAATTTTCCTTTTCCCTTCATTCTACAAGGAAATATTGAGTACAATAAACACGTGCCAAGAGACACATCAAGAAGACCTTAGCTCAATGCAAATCAACCTTCTTGATTCAGTAGTCTCGAAAACAAATGAGCAAATTCCTACTTATTTAAATCAGTCCTCGTTACTCGTGGGTTAGCATGACCTCAAATAAAACAACTCTCACGTGTTTATATGTTTTTTATGTGATATTGTGCATCATGGTGTCATGAGCTGAAACTAACATATTTGCCTTTGAGTTGTTTTGTTTTACAGGTACTTAGAACTGATTTGTGTTGATAAGCTGGCCGAGCATCTTTATTTTACAAGATCCAAGCTCCCAAAGATTCCTTCCCTGGATGGAATTCACTAAAGGAAAAGCAACAATGGGTGATAACTGTGAAGAGACTGGCCTGAAGTTGTTGTGGTTCAGTCCTCTACCGCTGAACAGAACGAGTTAATCAAGCAACTAATGCAATAGATTGTTGATCTAAAGATTTAGATGCATAGAAAGCAAGATTTGCCAAAACCAATGTTCGCTGTCAACACTCCTGGCGACAAAAGGCCTCCACTCTACTTTCCACCATCGAATTCAAATGCGGAACATGTCTAGAACCCAACCTCCAACCCTATCCAAAATTCTTCCATCATCGATTTAACTACCCCAAATCCTCATCGCGTCTCTGCTTCTTATCAAGCACCACCTCCTCTTCAAAGTACCAACCCTCAAACCTTCCCTCCCCCTCAAAAACAGATTATAAACAATCCTCAAACTTTCCCCCATCCTCAAAACCAAAATATCAACCCTCAAACATTCGTCCTGTTATACAAAGCCCCTTAAAATACCCAAAATCCTCATGTCGCTCCACCCTTGCCTCGAAAACCTACTTTCTTAATCCCGGTCCAAAATGAACCTTATGCTAATTATTATGAACTTGATCATTACGAGAAACATGAAAGAGAGTGGAAAGGAAGAATAGTCCGAGCAAAGTATAAAGGAAGAGATCAACAAAGTTATGAAAGAGTTTCATTATACTGTAGAAGTTGTCGGATTGAATTATGAAGATTTATGCATCCACCCGGAGTTGGACATTACGAAAGGGTTCAAGGTCCGGAAGTTCAATACTTTTGATGGAACTGGTAATCCACTAGCTTATCTGAGATCCTATTTCAATCAATAGTTGGAGTTGGTAAAAATGAAGATTTGTTGATGCGGCTATTTAGCCGAAGCTTAAGTGGGGAAGCATTGGAATGGTTTACTTCCGAGGAAATAAACCAATGGTCCAATTGAAACGCACTCGCTAAGGATTTTATCGAACAATTTGCATACAATGTAGAAATCGTTCCTGACTGATACTCTTTGGAGAAGATTAGACAGAAGTCAACTGAGAGCCACCGTGAGTATGCATTTAGATGGAAGAAAGAGGCCGCCAAAGTCCGACTGTCTATGTCGGAAAAGGAATTTATTGAAGTGTATCTGCGTATTCAAGAACCAGAATACTATGACTGGATAATGTCGCTCATTGGAGCAAAATTTGCAGAGATAGTCAAGGTGGGTGTGACTATCGAAGACGGGTTAAGGACCGGGAAGTTTGGCAACGTTGGTGCTTCGATCGGATTTTCTACATTATTGAAGAAAAAGAGGGAAGATGTATCTCCTATTTCCTATGCGTCTGAGGGAAAGAAACACTCCCAAAATTCTTCACAAT